CTTGTCCTCCTCTGATGATACCCTTACTACCCTGGGGCAGAGAAGCAAAAAAGTGAAGCTGGGAAGGATTATCTCCAACGACTAGGCACAGGGTAGGGGCTGTGGCTGGGTGGCATGGTGAGGCAAGTCTGAACCAGCAGGTCCGACCTAACACATTCCAGAGTCACCTCACAGATGAATACCACAAGGCACGAATGATCGCTCTGCTGTGCCACGCGTTTCCCAACTGCACAGTCTGTACACCTTAGATTGTGACACGCTGTAGTAGGGTCACTTTGCCCTTTGTGCCTTGCTGTACCTTACACACAAGTCTGTCCTCACACGTGCAACACTTCATTTCATTTCTCTGTCTATTCCAGTGGAATGTGAGATCCCTGAAGGCATCAACCTGCCTTTTTACCATCAGTGCCTTCTGGGTTACTTGGTAATATTAGGGGCTCAATAAGTATTTATTAAATGATCTCAAGGAAGAGTGTTGTACCTACTGGTGGCTTACTACTGGAAAGAGGTGCCAAGAAGAAATAAATGATAAAGTCATAGTTATCGTTTGGAAAAGGAATGCTTCCTATTGCCTTAAAAGATGGCAAGAGTGTTGAACTCAGCTTCATGTGTCCTGGGCAGGTTTAAGAGCGGGACTTAATCACAAGGGACTATCCCAAACATACTAAATGCCCAAACTCCGCCCTGAACATAAAAAAATCAGGCATGTAAAAGAAAACATGTTTTAAATGCTCTGCAGGTGATTCTGACCCACATTCCTGGCAAAATCTAGTGCATACAAGTAAGTATCTGTTAACATACTACTCAATTTTGTGGTATAGGCTAATAAAAGAGTGACAAGTGGAATAATTTCAGGTATAACTAGTTGAGCATGGAGCTCTATTAGCACAAGTACACCTAAGCTAAAGGTGGTGTAGATTATAGAATAGCACTTGCTCTTTCTCCATATGCCAAATTACAAAAGCATTGTAAATAGACACCTTATAAAATGTCTATCCTGCCCTACCATGGCTTCGTATCTTCTTACACAGCTTGACATGAAAAATATCTGTTATTTTAATATTACTATCTTTTTGGAAAGGAACTCCTTGCTCACTTGTCACTTCTACATGTTTTTCTTATGCTGCTGGAGGTCTGTAATTGCAGAGATGAGGATCCTTCTGGGCCATACTGAGATTTACCTGGATGGGTGCACTAATCAGGGTCCCTTTGCTTTCAAGCGATAGAAATAACACATTTAAACAAAAGCAGTATCTATTGACTTTTTAAATTACTTAACCCACTCCACAAATATTTCTCGAGCACCTAATGTCTGCCAATAATGATGATGCAGTGGTGAAGAAGACCATCTCTTCCCTTGTGATGTTTAAGGATGAGCTTGCTTCAAGCGTAATTGTTTCCTAAGGCTCAAATAATGTCATGAAACTTTGCCCCCTCTGGTCTCCCATCTTTTTTACTCTTCTAGCCTCTGTTTCTCTTTGCTTATTGGCCTGATTCTCACCTGTCATAGAAAGACTCCCTCCAAGTTGTGGCAAAGAAACTCTGCAACTGGCAGCCTCCCTTCAAAAAGGAAGAGAGGACTGCACCCACCCTAGCATCCTTACCTCATGCCTAATGGAAGGATTCCGAGTCATCCTGCTTTGGCTTAGCCCTTTCATATGCCCGATCCTTAAACCCAGGATAAGGGGCAGGGATACTACGATTGGCCAGACCAGGTCCAAAGGCCCACTCCTGTGGTCACAGGGTGGGAAGCAGTCCCACAAGACCATGTTGGGATGGGTGAGGGGATCGTTCTCCAATATAAAGAAGGATTTTAGGCCCCAAACAATGACATCCACCATACCATGTGTGTATTTGTGGGAGTATCACATTTGAGAGGTGTGACCTTTTTTTTTTGGTTAAGATTTAACAAATCCAGCTTAATGTTAGATTATCAAAACATTGTTTTTAAAGTGCAAGTAATTCAGTAACTTCTGTGAGATAATTTGAAATCAATTAAGTAAATCAAGTGTAAATTGCCTACTTATTTTGATGTAACCTTCACAAGGTGCATAACAAAATATTATAAATAAAATGGCAGTCCTTTTATGATTGGCTGGTGTGGGTGACAGACAGCATTTGAGTCTGGTCACTTCCCTGAAGCAGTGGGTGGAGTCAAAAGTTGAAGGGGGGTGCATGCTAAAGAAATAAAAAAACACTTGAAGAAAGAGGGGTGAATCATCTTTCTCTAGGGGTCTTTTGGAAAAGTCCCAATTACAGACTGGGGTGAGAGTACAGAGGATGGTGGTGAGGAAAAATAAAATGATATTGTAAGCAAAGCACTAATTCGGCATCTGAAATTTCAGAGATATAAGGCAGTGAGTAAAAGAGAAGAACAGAGAGGGTTATACTTTTCTGGGGAGGGTGTAGGAGGAGAAACCATGAGGACAGAATTGCCAAGGAGAAATCGGCAGAGAAAGATAGTGCATAGCAGCATAGCAAGGGAAAAGTGAACAAGAGGGCAGGCTAGGATAATAGCTAACAATTATTGATTACTTATCCATGCCAGGAAATGCTCTCTGTGTTTTCATGAGCTACTGTAGTTACACTTCATATCAACCTTCTGAGGTAAGTACTTTTAATAGTCACATTTCACAGAGAGGAAATCGAGGCCGAGGGAGATGAAAGAACTTGTCCACATCACACAGCTGGTAAGAATTAGAGCCGAGATTGGAACTTAGACAGCGTGAGTCCAGATTTGCACTCATTGCCACATAAAAATGAGAGAGAATTCATAGAGGAATGGTTAGAGAAAAAGAAAATGGCCTACAAGGATTTGTCTTAGGGTTAAAGATGTCTTTAAAGGTGGTGATGAACCAAATACAGGGGATTATAAATCTATAGAAACTTGAATATTATAAAAATGATAAAAGATGTCAGTCTGGCTTAGAGTCAGACAATGACTCTAAGGAGGAAGATTAGCGGTCAGAGTGAAAATCATATATGAATAGTTTGCTTATAATACATAGGATATTAAAAATGACTTTGTGGTGATTTTCATGTTATTATTTAGAAAACCTAATTATAATTCACCCAAAGTATTTCAGTTGTATTACTCCTAAAGATCTCTTAAAACAAAAATAAAAATGTACAAACAAAATATGCAATTCTAGGATTTTAAAGAAATATTATTTATATCAGAAATGTCCAAATTTAGATGAATCTTGTATGTAAATTGTACTAGGAGTTAGACTTTATAAATATTTATTAAAGCCATACAAAGTCCTTGGCACTGTACTGAGCACTGTGGAAGCAATGGTGACTAAGAAAGCCTGGTATCTGCCCTCATGGTGCTTATGGTCTAGACCCTGGACCTCACTTGTTCTCGCTACCCTGGGAGTTGGCAGGAATATCTGTGTCCATAACACTTATGCCCTTAACATGTATGATCACTATATGTGCAATATACTAATACAATTTCTCTATATAATAAAACATCCAATTTATCAAGATGTATACATCAAATTTGTGCAATTTTTTTTGTATATCAGTTATACCTCTATGATGCTAAAAAAATCCAAGTCATTAAGTTAAAATATGAATAGAAAGAACAGTGGACTTAAAGCAAGAAGAAAAACGTAGCCTTGGGCAAATCATTTAACCACTCTGAAGAAATTTCAACTTCACCGGGTTTTGGTTAGATTTAAAGTCATAATATGCAAAAGTACTTTGTAACATATATATATTATATATATATATATGTATATATAATATTATATATACATCCTAGACATTATTCTTATTGTGATTTACACAAAATTATGTTCTTCTTTTAGAGAAATTTTTCAGAAAATGCAATTTCATTAGAATTTACCTATACTTAGGCCAGCAGTTCTCAACCTTTCTAATACAGCTCCTTAATACAGTTCCTTATGTTGTGGTGACCCCCAACCATAAAATTATTTTCGTTGTTACTCTATAACTGTAATTTTGCTGCTGTTATGAATCGTAATGTAAATATCTTTTTGTTTTCGGATGGTCTTAGGCGAACCCTGTGAAAGGGTCGTTCGACCCCCAAAGGGGTTGTGACCCACAGGTTGAGAACCGCTGGCTTAGGCGATCATAGCAACAAAATGTGCTGTAGGATAGGATGTGGAAGTAGAATGGCTTTATATATAAAATCTGCATCATTTAGAATAAAAATATTGATACTATATTCATTATATACATATCCTACAAGAGGCCAAAAGATATGAAGTCTCTCAACTGCCTTCCTCCAACTCCTGCAAACTTAGCTGCTTTTTATCTAGCCTCACATTCTTTCCTCCTAGCTCCGTCTATGAAGGGACTTTCCTTCTGACTAATTCTCCCACCTCAAGGAACTTTATCTGATCAATTGTCCCAAAAAAGAGGTAAACTTCTCCTCGACTTTGTATCACTCCTTTAGCTATAGCCTTTTCTTCTTTGTTCCCTGCATAGCTAAACTTTTCCATAGATTCCTTTACATGTGTTTTCCCCTCTGCCACCTCCCACTCACTCTTAAACTCACTGGAATCTTGAAACTGCTATATGACACTGCTATTGGTAAAGGCAACAAACAACCATCTTGCCACTAAAATCTATGGACACTTTATCTTACATGATTTTTTTGTAGAGCTCAAGGACAGAGTGAATTTTAGGTACACTGGGGAAATTCAAATGGAGATGTGAGTAGATAGTGACATTTGCAGATCTACAGCTAAGGAAAGAAGTCTGGCTCCTTAGATTCGAGAGTCTTCAGCGAAGGCAGGAAACGTGTAGTGTAAGAAGCAAGAGGACAAAGAAAGGAACCCTGAGGAATACCAACATTTAGGAGATCAGCAATAAAAGTACACCTGAAGAAACTTCAGAAGGAGGGTGTGGTGGTTTTAAAATATGTTTTTGATTCTTTGATACTCTTTCTTTCAATAAACGGATCTTAATTCTTCTCCCCTTGAATGTGGGCTGGACTTAGTGACTCCCTTCCAAAGAATAGAATGTGGCTCAAATGTTGCTAAGTGACTTCTGAGGCTGTGTCATGAAAGACATAGCTTTTACCTTGTTCTTCCTATCTCTGAATCTCTTGTTCTTGTTGAAGCCAGACACTGTGTTGTGGGGACACTAAAACCGCCCGGTAGAGAGGCCAACCCATGGAGAGGTCACAGGGAAAGGAACCAATTTGCCAGCCAGGTAAGTGAGCCATCTTGAAAGCAGATCTTCCTGCCTCAGTCAAAACTTCAGATGATTCTAAGTCTTTCAGCGGAGACCCCAGAGAATGTGAAGAAACAAACCATCCCTGTTTACTCTGTCTGAATATCTGACCCATAGAAATAGTGAAATAATAAATAATTATTGTTGTTCCAAACTACTGTTTTGGGTTGATTTACTGTAGAGCAGTAGATGATTAATACAGAGGAGCCAGAAAGACAGGATAGAAATGAAAAGACATTGGTGAGATAATTTAAAAAAAAACAAAACCCAAACTTTTCTTTTTCTATTGTTAATTACTATGGATAGACAATGTCCTTGTATTTCTTTTTTTATTACATTTTTTAATATTGAGACACCATTCCATACATGCACAGACCTTAAGTGTTGTTCAGTGAATTCTCACAATTGTTTACACCCATGTAACCACCACCCAAGGCAAGATAATAAAAGACTTCCATCACCCCAGGGTGTCCCCTCCTGCTCCTCTCTAGTCAGTTCTCTCATCCCAAGCCCAAGTCATTTTTTAAATTCAATTACCACAGGTTAGTTTTGCATTTTTATTTTTATATCCGTGGAACTATGCAATATTATTTTGTGTCTGTTTTTTTCACTCACTCAGCAAATTGTTAGTGAGATTCATTCAAGTTCATTGCCTGTGTCAGTAGTTCTTTCCTTCTTATTAGCAAGTAGTATTTCCCTGTATGAATATATCCCAATTTGTTTCTCCATTCTCTCCCCTGCATTTCTTTTTCTTTTTTTTATCTTTCTTTCTTTTATCTTTTTTTTTAAGAGTTTTATTGGGGAATTGGGGAGGGAGAACACTGTGTTTTTTTCAGGACCCATCAGCTCCAAGTCAAGTTGTTGTCTTTCAATCTTAGTTGTGGAGGCACAAGCTCAGCTCTAAGTCCAGTCGCAGCTTTCAACCTAGATGTGGGTGGGCAGGGGGGGGTCTAGTCCACCATCCCATGCGGGAGTCGAACCAGCAACCTTGTTGCATATTGAGCCATCCGGCCACCCATCGGCAGCTCACGCCTGTTCAGCTCAAGATGTTGTGTTCAATCTTAGTTGCTGGGGGTTGAGTGGGGGAGGACAGCCCACCATCCCATATGGGTGTCAAACGCTCTTAACCAACTGAGTCACTCAGCCGGCCCTCCCCCCTGCAACTCTTAATTAAAATAAGCAGTATAGTTATTTCTTCTTTATCACTGTGGACACATAAAAAATACAAGGACAAAAATACAAGGACGTGTACAAAATCATGTCGACAATTTCATACCATTATAAGTAATATCATATACATAGATGGAATGCATTAAGAAATGATTGATAGTTATGATCTGTAGACACTCTCTATAGAATGAGAAAGTTATAATCACACTGTTGGCCATAAAGAGTACACTACTCCTATGACATTTAATTTGAAAATGCAAGCTGCCATGTAAAAATCATAAATGGGTCAATTCTTTTGAGAAAAATATTGAGCCAAAAGACACATTTAGAAATAATGACGTAGAAATAAAGAAAATAGAAAAAAAATCCAGAGCTTATTTGTTGAACACACACACACACACACACACACACACACACACACACACACACAGATCAGCAATATCTCTAGAGTCATTTTATGTATGGGGGCCAGTGAGACATATGGACCAATGGTGTTGCATATCATAAAGGAGTTTTCAGTTGTCCTTTCTAGAGTATTTGATACTTCTTTAAATCAAATCTAATTTAACTTCTTTTGTATATTTAATTGCACATTAAAGAGACTTGATACAGATCTCAGAACTGTAATAATTTTTCTATGAAAACTTTTTGTTCTTGATGAATCTAAGATCATGTGTTCAGAAATGTGTTGTTTTAGAGATTATTTCTAGTTGCATTTCCTAAGGACATTTTGTTAATGACACTAGTTTTAAAAAGAGTTATCATTTTCCCAGTTCTGAATTTCTGAAGCATAAATACTTCAAAATCATGTTGAATTTATGATACAGCAAAGATAGAGATACTAAGCTTAATTTTATTATTTTCCTCAGTGGATCAAAATAATCTCAAACCATATATTAACTAATCTCCTGCAGTTTCTCATTTATAATCTCTGTTAGTTTTAAATTCTGGGAGCAGTCAATAGAGTATCTGAAAACACTTTGTTTCAACTTTGCCTTTCTTCCCGGTAATATAAATACCTGAAGAGGATATTGCTTAACCTATAAAACAGAGACATTATAATTTACGAATACTAAGAAAATCCTGTTCATCTGTTAAACTATGTGATGAGCTGGAAATGGTGATTTTTCTCAGTGGAAAGGACATATTAAAGGAACAGCTTTCCTTGTTGTATCTTTAGGGACCCTCTGATCCCATTTTAGCCCTGATTACTCTCCATCACTAACCTTTTGACAACTTTTCTCACCCTGTTCTTGCTTCTACTTCCCTATGGCAATTAAGTGAAAATGCTGTCCTCATCACTATCATCTCAGGGTATTGCCGAAGACCGGGCCCCCTCAGGCACAGATTCAAGCCTGCAGTTGGGAATTTGAGCAGATGTAAGGCTGCCTATACTACTGCCTTCTTCCCAGGGAGCTGAAAATTGAAGCTGACGGTTGTAATCAGACTAGAAGGATTACGATTTATCTGGGCTGTTGTTCACTGCTACGAGTTTGATTTGTAACTTGTCTCAGCTAGTCAATTAAAAGTAAGCCTTTATTATAAGAATTTATGTACAACTGTTTTACAACCGAAAGCCTCACTAGTTCTGAAACTTAGAAGACAAACCTACAGGAACATCCTATTATTTTGTTTAGCTATTCTAACTTACATGTAATTTGAAGTTTTGAGGAAAAGGCTAGGGCTATTTTATTCTTAACTAAATGGCTGCCCAGCAGTGTGGTCAGCAAATACAGTCTGTATCTAGTTATAAATTTATAATTGAAATAATGGTCTCCATTGGCTGTTGTATACATTATGGTGGTGAATCAAGCTATTTTTGTAAAGTTCTCAGGTTGCTGCAAGTTCAAGGCTAATGGCTAATTCTATAATAGATAAAATACTACCCATGATCATTAAATTGTTTAAAATCACAAAGAGTGCACTCACTTGTTTGCCTATAGGAAGTAATTAATAAAATAAATAATCCACAAGAGTTTACGTTTGGTTCCCCTCACTTCTATCTGTAACTAGGTGAGTGGTTTAATAATCTGGTTGCTTAACAATTCTAATACTCATTTTTTTTCACCTTTAAAAGTGGAAACTATAATTATAATGTGGTTCTGAGGAGGAACAGTAAAGTATGTAAAAGCACCTGCATGTGCTTGTTGCAGAATATTCAGTAATTGGTAGTTATATTATTCAGAACAACAAATAATTCCCAGGAGACTTTAGCTTCCTAAAAATGTTTACTATATTTACATAGAAAAACCAAGTTTTTTTCTGTTGTCATTTGGGTCATTCTCAGTCAGGCTCGAGTCAAATGCGTTCCTACTGTAACACTAGCTTTTGTCTGTTCTCCCCAGAAATCCTTATGAGGCAATGGCCCCAAAGCTGACAATGACTTTACCCCAGCCCTTTTACAACTCTCGTGAGACTGAGGGATGCTTCTACTGCTTCTAGGTGGAACCCTGGGAAGCAGCTTGGATTCTGCTTTAGAAGTTACACCATTTGTCCCATGGACCATATTTTTCTCACTGATCCAGAAGGAAAGTAGAAGGAAAACACTGATGTTCATAAAATAAGTAAGAATATATTTTATACTTTCAAGGGTACTTTGTGCGGACTTGGCTGTTTACAAGGAGAGCTGGTGAGAATTTGTGTATAATTCTGAGGAAACAGAGCAGGGAGTTAGACTTCTTTAAATTAGCTGAGAGTGCACTCTAGGAGTAGGCTTTATCTGTTCTAGTATCTTGTCAACATCATTATTTTTTTTTAATACAGCTTTCTGAATGTTAAAATGACCATACCAAAGTAGATATAAATACTCCAAAGTGAGAGGATCATTTCTCAGTGGTTTCACTGACATTTGCTCTAAGTGCTACTGAGGAGAAGTATGTGGAGATAAGAATCATCAGTTTTATTGATTTGTTCTGTGACTTTGGGTAGTGACCAAATAAATCTATCTTTAACATCCTTATATTCTTGCACACTGTAGGTGCTTTAAAAGTATCTCAAATTTGGACTGAGTGAAATTTGTCAGAGTCCTAGCTGCATCATAATCCCCCTAGGCACTGTTGCGGAGATTAGTGAAGCCTGGGTGGGGACTCCCTATGAACTATTAAAAGAGCTTTAAAAAACGAATACATGTGAGAGATCCCACAACTAGCCCAGCATCTCTATAAACAGTTATTTCAAAAGCAAATACCTAAATGGGAAAAATACCTTTATTTGTCAGCTGGGTTGCAAATTTTAAAGATAAAGAGAAGAGCCTATGCCTTTGTTGGAAAATAATCAATTTAGCTTCTGGAAAGGACTCCACAGCTTGGTGCCCAGCAATGCCTATTTTGGATTAAATTGTCTATTAATTAAACTGAAATGATTTAAACATGCATCACCTTGCATTGCACCTATCAGAAAACAAAAGCAAAAAAACCCCTGGGGTTTGGAGTGAGGACAGCACACCACACACCACACCCTGTCTAAAATGCACAGGATTTAAGAGGCGCCAAGGGACCCGCGCCGGCTCTCGCGGGCGATTGGCAAACCCTGCCCGTGGGCCCTGCAGGCAGTGTGTCCCGGCGCGTTGGCAGTTGGCGACCCCCCTCGACTCCCCCTCCGCTGCAGGCTCCCTGTGGCCTTTGGAGGCTCGGCGAGTCGGCTCCAAATGTTTTCCATATTTGTTCAGCCTCCGTAATTCGAATACCAGGGCAGCCTCACCCCGCCCAGCGCCGCCCTCGGGGCCCAGCGCGCCGCACACGCACCCACCCACGCAGCCGCCATGGGCAAGGACAAGCTGCCCCGCGGCCAGCGGAGGCAGGGGGGGCCGCCGGCTGCGGACGCCGCCGGGCCCGACGACATGGGGCCGAAGAAGGGCAAGGGGGCCCCCAAGGAAAGCGGGGAGGAGGAGGCCCGGACGTGCTGCGGCTGCCGGTTCCCGCTGCTGCTCGCCCTGCTGCAGCTGGCCCTGGGCATCGCCGTGACCGTGGTGGGCTTCCTCATGGCGAGCATCAGCTCCTCCCTGCTAGTCAGAGACACTCCATTTTGGGCTGGGATCCTTGTAAGCATCACGTCTGTTTTGCCTAGCGCGTTTGCCGAACAGGAATGCAAAGCCGCATGGTCGAGTTACGACTAACCCAGCTGCATGCGCCCTTCCCCAGCTCCACTCCTCTAACTCGCTCTGCTTGGTGACTGATGCCTGCCACACGGGGTTTGCCCGGGGGGCAGGCTGGGCGCCCGAGGACTCGCGCCCCTTGTCCTGCTTGGTGCTCTGAACGCCTCCAATGGGCCCGACTCGAACGCGCTGGAGCTGGGGGAGGCGAGTCAAAGGCTGCTTATTTTGGTCCAATTGAACAGCCTCCATAACAACAGCAGATTCACTTGGGCTTTTTCCTTGTCCTGGTCCCCGGGCCCCACCCTTGTCTCTAAATAAGTATCAAACAGTTAAGTAGTTCATCTTCGTAAAAGTACGTTAGGAAAAATCCTGTACGTGGAGTCGCCCCCTTGGGTAGTATTAATTTTATTTTTTTACATGTGAGGTTCCATTAGTAAGTTTTATAAAGTAATGGTCGAAGGCAGGAAACGCGCAAAACAGCAAGCAAAGTCTTAATTCGCCGGAGTCTCAAGTGGGATAAACGCAGGCCATGGCAGAGGTACTTTTGGGACTCTGCTGAGGGATGTACTGTTTTAAGCAGAACACTGCTCAGCTGTTGTGAGTGTTGAGACACAAAGCATACTTGGCTTAATGAAATAGATTCTTTGATGTGAATGGGCACCATTTATTGAGCACCTACTATATGCCGGTCCTGCCTTACATATATTATTTCTAATTTCCCACTCCACCCTTATGGGAGAGTTCTTACTCCATTTCTCAAATGAGAGAACCAAGGGCAGACTCATCCAGGGTCATGAGTGGGCCAAGTTGGCAAATTAGCCAGTTCGATTTCTTTTTGCACCAGGTTACACCGGCATTTTCTTCACTGAGCCACACTGCCACACATATGGTTTGTAGTTTTAATATTATGCTGTGTTATAGCGCCTTGTGGTTGACTAAAACCTCATATGATCCATGAAACAACACGTTGAGGTGGGAACTGTTTTTCCTCTTTGGACATGAAGAAACAGGTTAAGAGAAATTAAACGACATTCTCAAGGCCCAGAGATTAAAAGTGGTGGAGTCCAGGCAAGACCAGAATTGACACTCAGGCTCCTCGGCTCATATTGCATCATTACTGCTATTACTGACCACAGAAGCTATAACTCATAAAACAACCCTTGAAATAATTTTGTGTCAGAGCAGATGTTAAAAACACCTGATAAATATTCATCGAGGCAGGTATTTTGTAATTAAGATTATTTGAGCTCACAAATTTTTGCAGAGTAATTTAAAACTTTTAATTTGTATACTAAGAATTCCCACGAAATTATCATGATTGGAGTTTTCTAAGTCGAGTGATTTTAAAAATAGCTTTTCACCAAGATATACTGGGTATTTTAGTCACCTCAATGTCTGTCAAGATACTAGAGGGGAAAAAATGTCTGTCCTTTAAGGCGAGACAAATTAGAAAAAAAGAACGAAGCTCCTTCGTTCAGTGGTTTGAATATCATTTGTGAATGTGTTTTCTCTCTTTCTTGTATTTCAACTTTTAAAAGCCCAGTACCAAAAAAGCAAATTGGAGAAATTTTTTTTCTCAATGTCTAAGGCATGAATATTCAAATTATGCAACTGAAATTTCATGATCTCCTATTAGGAGCATCCCATGAAAGCTGCCTGGGTGCAGTAGAAAGCAGGTTTCTGTTCTTTCTAATTTTTTTGTTTATAAGCTAGGATCCACTTGAAGTTTGCTTGTAGTGATAAAATCTGTACTGATGATATCTGTAATCCTAAAATTTCTTTCAATGAGAACATGCATAGCATCAATAAGATAGTACAGATGCCCTGAGATGAGTGAGGAGGGTCTCTGAGGAGCCAAGTGAGGACACACTCTCATTCCTGGGCCAAAGCTGCAGGCAACATGTCGCCGCCACCCACAGACACCGGGCTTGTTGTCCTCACGTCTCTGTCTGTGGTTGGTCCTGGGGCGCTCTTCCAGGCTTTCAGGGAAGGGAAAAGACAGGGAGGCAGGATGGTGAAGTGCAGAAGTGCAAACACTGCGCTTGGTGTTAAGCCCCAGCCTGGCCATTGTTTGCTGAATAACTTTGGGCAAGTGACTTAACCACCGTTTCTCTAGGTTTCCATTTCTTTATTTATGAAATCAAAATGATAATAATAATTTCTACCTCCTTAGGGTTGTCCTGAGGATTACATACATTAAGACATGGTCTAACGCTTAGAGAGTGCTGGCTAATAGTAAGCATTCAGTGAGTTAGCTCTTGTTATTACTGATTAGTGAAGCAATCATCATTAGTGGCACTCTTCAAATGAGAAGTGGCTCTAGCTTATTTCTAGTGTAGCAGAACAGCCATTTTGGACTTGCTGCATTTCCCAGACCAGTTTGAACCCCTAAAGGAGATATCACTTTGGCCCATCTTACATTTTTTGCTCTCAGCCAAGTTACTATTAGCAGTCTCAGTGGTATTAGGTTAGTTTCAGTACTTTCTGAATCTTTCTGGAGGTTTATAAAAATTAATTTGGAGGAAAGGGGTCCCCTTAGGGTCTTTTCCCTAAGAATATGGAGGTGATTCTGGTCTGGTGTATCCCCCCAGAGAATACTGAAATGTATTCCTGTTGCCCTGTTGAGAAGACCTGCTAGACCAAAGCATTACAGGTCAATCCCTGGGCTGGGGCAGAGTCAGACCTGCTTTCAGAATTTAGGCTGAATTCAAGCAGGGTTCCCAAACTGATGCACCTACCCCATCGACAGCTTTGTATGCCTTACTCTTCTATTTCCCTTTATACGGTTGCCTCTTACCATATGACACTTATTCATTTTACAAGGGTTATTATCCCATTACCTTGGGATTTAGGCATCACCATTCCCATAATAGAATCTGAGTATATGGTCAAACCCCCTGAAGTGACTTCTTGTTGACCAATGTATGGGTGGCTTGATGAATATCCAGTGAACTTCTGGTTATAGACTGAAGAAGCTCTTGGTGATCTGTGATCATGGATTTATGTCCAGTGGAATTTTGGGAAAACAAATAGGTTATTTCTTGCCTATTCATAAATATGACTCCCTTCACCCTTCATCAGAGAAATGACTGAAGTCTTGTTATTTTACTTACAAAAGGTTTCTGTAAAGGAAAAAGAGTAGAATAGAGCCACTACGGAGACTAAGTGACGTGTAAGAGTGCCATTTGTTTCTCAGAATTCTTTATAAATGGCTTGAGGATTGCAAGTCACACCACATTGACAATGCAAAGTGAGACAGGGTCTTTGAGGATGAACTTGGCTGGGGCAGGAGATCCCAGGTAACAGAAATTTGCTCTGCATTTTGTTCTTTCAGTGGCTTGAGTAGCTGGGTCAAATATGCGTTCAATGTTGCTCATCATTCCAGAATTCTTATTGACGAACAAATGAGTATGGATTGAAGGAATCCAAGAACTTTGAGGTCTTTACTTACTTCTTACTCAAATGAATACA